GATGTCCTAAACTCATCATTATATCTGATTGACAATTTTACTGGATACATTATTTTTGGTTGGCATCTTTCTTTCTTTCAGAGTTTGATATATGTCATAATATATCTTTCCTTTTTTTAAATTTTATTTTTATTATTTTTATGTGCGTGTATGTGTACCATCAAATCGGATCTCACTGGTACAGGAGGAGATTGTCCCTCCTTCTCCAGCGGAGCATCTAGTCGATTTGAACCATGCACCTCTGGGATTGCAGTACAGCTTCTTGCCGCTAGGCCACTAGAGCTCCTTTTATATTGCTTTCTTATCTACGTGGTTTCTACTGAGAAATTGTCGCTTAATTTTATCTGTTCTATTTACGAAGGAATTCTTCACTTTTCCTGAGCGGTTTTCAGCAGTCTTTCTTTGCCCTATATTTTGGTAAATTTGTTGATGACCTATTTGGTGTTTTTGTTTTTTGGTGTCTGTCCTGTTAGAGATTTTTTCAACTTCTTGAATACATAATAGAATGCTTTTGGTAATGTTTGGGAAATTTTTAAATTTCCTCTGTATTTTTTTTCTACTCACTTCATCTTCTGGAATTCCAATCACATGTAAGTCACTAGACTTTATCAAATTTTTTCTCTCTTCTTTTCTCTGATTGTTCCTCTAACAGATTCATTTTGTGATTAATTATCTTGCTTATGGACTCTGCATTTTATTTCTTATATTTTGTCTTTCTCAGAATTCTCTGACTAAAATTTTTATCTTAATATTCTGACTTAAATTTTTATGTTTTTCTATTGATCCTAATTGTCCATTTTTTTTTATATTTGTTCTCACATAGTTTGTAAAAAACCATCTTTGATGGTTACAATCCAGGAAGAGACTTATGTGTCATTCTTTTGGATATCTTTTCAGGAAGTTCCAATAGCCATCCTCCCACTGAAAGTTTTCGCTGTTCTGTATTGTGGCACTTTTTTGTTCCATTGTATCCTGTTTTATGATGGAGTTTTGGGATAATTGTTTGGTGGGTTTCATTCCTTTCCTCTTTCTGACTGATTTGCAGTTGTCTGTCACTTTCTAGACATTGTGGTGGTGTTGTCTATGGGTAAAGAAAAGCTATCCGTCACTGGAGTAAGCATCTAAGAGTAAGGTTACCAACCCATGATGGAGTTTTTACTAGTCTCAGAAGAACACTGAATAATCCATTAGATCAGGAACATTTCTTTGTCAGTCTAGAGATGGATGTTGGTGAGTGCTCAGCCAGACATTAGTACCTTGAATAAATAATTACTGCCTTATAACCTTAGAATGGTGCACTCACTGAAGGATTCATGTGATGGTGCAGGCCAACTACAGCACAATCCACTAATTCCTGGGAGGAGAGTAGAAATATAGAGCCATGCAAGCTTCCAGAGCTAAATACAAATTAGTCTGGCTGGAGGTGAAACTGAGAAAAGGTGTGGAAGACAAGTAGCCATACAGTGGTAGAGGATGTCACCACCTTTAACAACAAAGGAGAGCAGAGAACAAAGAAGAATAGCACACCTTTCTTTCTTCCCATCCACTAGACACCAAAGTGGGCATCCCTTCTGATACTGATTGCCACAGCAAATATGCATCTATTCCACTGGTTGTGTTGTGCTGTTTATATGACTTCTCAATTTATGTTTTTAAAAAATGTTGCCTTGTAATTAAGACATTCCAGAGTTACATTTGTTTTCTAAAGTCTTTACTGTAGAGGATCTGAACTACCGTGTGTCTAGTTCGCCAAAATACTCAAATCCTCCATTTTGGTGTGGATTTTTTAAAAAAAAATTATTTCAATTTCCAATGTTTTCTTATAAATATATAAAATAAATTATTTTAAAATTAATATTCTGTTTTGAAACTTTGCTGAACCCACTTATTAATTCCAGTAATCTACTGGTTTTTCTATGTAGAAAATCACAATAACTGCAAATCAAGACAGTTTGGTGGTGTTCTTTTTATACTAGTAATGTTTATTTGGTTATTTTACCAACCAGGACCTCCAGCAAAAAAATAAATATAAATGGTTAAAATGGTGAAATTAAACATGCATTCCTGATTTAATGGAACCACATTAACTCTTTTTCCCTGTTAAAATGTGTGTATTTTTCCTTTTTAGTGTGTTAATAAGGGAGTTAACATAGGTAATTTTCTAATAATAAATTATTCATGCATTTTGATGACTCACTTGATTATGACATAGTACCAACTTTTCTATAATTTTTAATTTAATTTTAAGAACTTTTTTCTCTTTGTTCCTGAAAAGGCTAATACCCCCTGACTTTAATTTTATGGTCAAAACTATGCTAGCATTGTAATTTTTATTCCCTTAGTTTTTGTAGAATTTATCAGTTAAGCCATCTGTAGTTTTATTTTTAGGATTTTGTAAAGTGAAAAAATTTAATTTATATATATATATATTTCTCTCTTGATTAAGCTTTGACAGATTCTGGCTTTCAAGATATTGTTGATTGCTGGCATATCATTGTGCATAATATTCCCTTATTATCTTTTAATATCTGTAAAAACTGTGGTAGTCATATACTTTTTTCATTATTCTTAACTTTATTACATTTATTTACCTTCTAAGAAAGATTATAAAAAGCAATACTTCATTTAAGTACATTATTATCTTTATGAACATACTGTGGTCACAAATAAATGTGAGATGAGAAGGCAGGGCCCTGTTCTCGACCACACTAGCTCATTTGATCTGGGTTTGTTGGGTTGGTTTCTTTTGTTTTGTTTTGTTGTTTTTGTTTTTTTTTGTAATTCTTTTTTCTACTGGTTTATTTACAAAACTTGAATATAAATTCAAACAAATTCTTTCAACTTACCTCACCCCCCATCAAATTCTAAAACCAAATGATTAATCCCTTTCTCCCCTGCACATCCGCATCCCTCTGCTTCCAGCTTCTCCCAACCCTCTTGGATCCTTATACTCATTCTACAATAATGGTTTTACACAATATTTATCCTTGTGGGACTGAGTTAGTTCACTCAGCATAAGGCTCTCCAGTCCCTCCCAAGTTAAGCAATAATTTACTAAGTAATTACTCCTGCTTGCTGCATAGTATTCCATTGTGTGAATGTACCAATGTATCATTTCTCAATCCATTTGGTTGTGGTTGGACATTTGGGCTGTTTCTGTGTTCTTGTAATGGTGAATAATGCTGATATGAACATTTGGTGTACAAATATCAAGTCTCATAATCTCAGGGTATATTCCAAGTAGTGGAATAGCTGGGTCATATAGAATTTCTACAGTCAGCCTTTTGAGGAAGTGCCAAACCGTCTTCCAGAATTGTTGCACCATTTTAAACTCCCGCCAACAATATATAAGAGTCCCTTTCTCGCCACATCCTCTCCAACATATATTACTTACTGTCTTCTTAAACTTTGCCACTCTTACTAGAGTGAGATTGTACCTCATTGTGGTTTTGATTTGCATCTCTCTTATTGCCAGTGATGTGGAGCATTTATTTATATGTCTGTTTGTTATTTGAATATCTTCCTCAGTGAAAATTCTTTCCATGTCTTTTGCTTCATTTTGTAATTGAGTTATCAGTCTTTTTCTTGTCGTGGCCCAGGAGGGTTCTTTACACATTTGTTATAAGACTCTTGTCTGAGATGGTATTACCAAATGTTTGTTCCCAGGCTTTAGGTTTTCTTTTCATCCTGTTGAGAAAAGTTTTATATGTGCACAGGGATTTAATCTTTAGAAGGTTCCATGCATCAATTTGATCCTCTTTAGACTGTGAAATTTTTTTGTTGTTCGGCAGTTTCTTTATGCATTGGACTAGTGCTTCTAAGCTTGATTCCAGTTTGTCTCTTACCTGGATAAGTCAGATGTAGTAGTCATACACATATCTCATTGTTTATGGTCTTCTCTCTTTCCCTCCTTGAGTCTTTTTAAAATTTTATTTATCTAAGGGTTTTGTGTCATTAACTGTTCCTAATGTTTTTCTTTCTGGTTTTTTTTCCCCCTTAAATTTTCAATGTGATCTTTCTTCTTTTTTTAAATTTTGGTTTAATTTACTGTATATTTTATAATTATTAAATTGAAAATGGAATTAATGTGGTGGTTTAGTGGTAAAGTTGTGTCACCAGTCCAGAGGTATGTGGTTCAAACCTATCAGCTATTCTGTGAGAATTAGATGACCATTCTCCTCCTGTGTCATTTACTGCCTCAGAAAACCTCTTTTAGAATTAATTATGAGTTGATTTCAACTCAATGGTACCAAAAACATAACAAATTTAGTGTGATAATTTTCTTCTAAAACACCACTTTGTATCGTTACTTATATGTTGCTAAGATGCCACAGGTATTGTAAATATTAGTAGGATCAATAATTCAGTAGCTCTTCTAGAGTAAGACAGACTAGAAACAAAATAGAGCAAAATATTACTTTATGGATCACAAACTTTCTTTAGGACCACAACAAAATATTGTCTGAATCTCTACTTGGACATATCCTTTAAAGGAATCACTTTTTAGAGGTGGACTATATCTGTTAGTGGAAAAGAAGGCCAGTCAGAACATGAAGGATTGGTGCCATAGCAATGATAAAGGACTTTACCATACTCGCGGTAATGAGGGTGATGCATCATGCAAGAGTGTATGTACAATGTTACATTCTGTAGAGATGAAGTCCTATAATAATTAGTAATCTGATGATGGTACAGCACTGATAATCCCTTCTAAAGTTATTTAAAGTTCAATTTTCTAATGCATATAGAATCTTACAGTGTGTTAAAGGTCTACTGGCAACTAGCTCTTTCTACTTTACTTTAAATCATGCCTTAGTTCTTTTAAAAGCTTCTTAATGTAATATCTTACAAATCTTTATTTTGTCTAACGTAAGAATTTATAAAAAGGAACTGTAATGGTTTTGTGTTTAAAAGTCACTGCTTCTTAAAATAGTCACATTATTTGACTGAGCAAAATAATAACTAAGAATGTTTCTTTTTCTTGTACTTTCTCCTTATAGAAACATGTTTAAAATCAGATGCAAATATTCAGAATGGCTTCATTTCTGAACCCAGCTCTAAATATAATGTAAATAAAAAAACACCGTTTCAATGTAAACAAGGATTTGTAACATCAGACGGAGAAACAGTCGGCTACATCACATGTTTAGAAAGTGGATGGTCAAGTCAACCTATTTGCATTAGTAAGTAATTTGTTTCAGTCTTTTGAAGATAATTTTACATGTTTACTTTTTTATCTTTTTTTTAATAGTGGGAGGATGATTGCGAGGTTAACAAGTTTTCAAATGTTAGGACTAAAAAATACTTTTTAGAAATTCTGTATATTGTATGTATATATGTGCGATAAAAATGTAGGTTTATAAGTATAAACATAGACTCTAACAAAGAAATCATGTAACAATATGTAATATATAATAAACATTTCTAATGTAGGATTTGTCTGTTATGAATAATATATCAATATCTCTGTAGATCACAACAAAGTGTGGCTAACCCTGAGAAGGATAGAAAATTCAGAGCACTTAATTGTGCTCTTGTGAAACCTATACTTGTACCAAGAGGCCGTAGTCAAAACAAAGCAAGGACATGCCATATGGTTCAGGATCAGGAAAGGTGTGTGTCAGAGATGCATCCTATCTCCATAAATTTTTAAACCATATGAAGAAAATATCATTTGAAAGGCTAGATTTTATGAGGAGGAATTGGGTTGAATTGGAGGAAGACTCATCACAAACCTATGGTTTCAGATAGCACAACCTTGCTTGCTGAAATGGAAAAGAACTTGAGGCATTTGCCATAGAAAGTAAAAAACTACTGTCTTCAATCTGGATTGAAGCTCAACAGTAAGAAAATGAAGATTTTCACCACTGGGCAAATTTGGAGCACCATTGTCAAAATAAAAGAGATTGTTATTATTCACTGTTGCTTCATTCCACCACTAACCCTCCTGGCACCAGCAGTTAGGAAATCAAAGGATGCATTGTATTTGGAAAATCTGCAGTCAAGAACCTCTCTAGAGAATTGATGAGCAACAATGTCAGTCTGGAGACTAAGGTACATCTGATCCGGGCCATGGTCTTCTTAATTGCTTATTATGCATCAGAGAGCTGGACTATGACTAAGGGTAATAGAAGAAGAATTGATTCCTTTGAGTGTGGTGCTTGAGAAGTTGAACATACTGTGAACTGTTAAGAGCAAAAACAGATCTTGGATAGAGTGAAACCATGTTGTTCCTTGGAGGCAAGGATTTTGAAGCCCTGTCTCACATATTTTAGACACATGGGCAGGAGGGAGCAGTCCTTGGAGAAGGACCTCATGTTTGGAAGGGTGAAGGCACAGCATAGGAGAATAAGACCCTGGGTGGGATAGATTGACTCAGTAACTGGAGTAATGGGATTAGGTGTGTCAGAAATGATGTGATTGACTCAGGCTAGGGTGGGTTTCAGAGCTATTGCACATAGGGTCACTATGAGTTGCAGGTGACTCAACAGCACATAACAACAACAGCACAATGTCTGTAAATAATTAGTGTAGAAACCATTAGGAGCTTTTTTGATCTATAAGAAGTTTCACTACAATTCCAAAGGCATGCAGTTCAAATCAACCAGCTGTTCCATGGGAGAAAGATGGGCAGTCTCCTCCCATGCAATTAACTGCCTCTGAAAAACATGAAGGGTCAGCTTTGGGTCAATTTCAACTTGATGGTACACAATAAAAACAACAACAACATCATCATCAGAAATACACAATGGAGATATTATATATGATCTAGATAGAATACAGACACCATGAAAACTTAGAAATTATATTAAAATGTAGAGATCATATATTTAATAGAGAAAACTATAGAATTAGAAATTGTATGTAAAAAGGAATTGTATAAGAATCATATATTAAAAAAGTAAAAATATCTATTTAATATAGAAATGACTAATAGTAGAAATTCTAGGTAGAAAATTTATATATAATGTAGAAATGGTATTTATAGTGCAGAAAATATACTTATACTATTGTTATGCACTGTCAAATTGGAATAGGCGCATAAGGGATACTCTAGCAGATTTTCAAAAACTATAATTGCATAGAAGGAGATTGACAATTTTTCTCTCATTGAGCAGCTGTTGGATTTGAAACACATTTCTTTGGTTTGGAAAGACAACTTCCCTTTTTAAATAGTTTTTACTTTGTAGAGTAAAGGCATTTTCCACCTTGTACATTAAAGCAACCCTGTATTAGAAACTGGTTAGAGCATCTCACATGTTTTCAGGTGTAAACTTATTTTAAGCTGAAACATTCAAACTTATTTTAAGCTGAAACATTCATATCTGTTGTGCCTGTGGATAGAGTCCTTGCTCACAGACCTAGTTATGATGCTTTAAATTCAACACATGAGCTTTTAACTTAGAATCCTGAAGAAATTGGCTTTCATATTTTGTCTAATTGATGCTATATGGGAGCTCTACTTAGGAATACTTCTTCCTTTTGAAAAATTTACATAAACATATTTAGATAATTAAAGAAAAATTTAATATATAAGGAAGTATGTTATATATGAAAAACAAGGTCCAAGGTATTGATGGCCTACCGATGGACATATTTAAACAAACACAGCCCTCGATGTGTTTACCAGGTTGTGCCAAGAAATCTGGAGGATAACCACCTGGCCAACTGACTGGAAAAGGTCTATACTTGTTCCTATTCCAAAGAAAGGTGATCTGACAGAATGTGGAAATTATCAAACAATATTATTAATAGCAAGCAAGATTCTGCTGAAGATGATTCAAAAATGACTGGAACAGCACATCAACAGAGAAATTCCTGAAGTGCAGGCTGGATTTAGAAGAGACTGTAGAATTAGAGATATTATAGTGAATGTCAGATGGGTCTTGGCTGAAAACAGAGATACCAGAGGAATGTCTATCTGTTTTTCACTGACTATGAAAAGGCAATTGACTGTATGGATCACAACAAACTGTGGTTGACTCTGAGAAGAATGAGAATCCCAGAACACTTGGTTGTGCTTATGCGAAACTTATATGTGGACCACGAGGCAGTCATCAGAACAGCGCAAGGGAACACTGCATGGTTCAAACTTGGGAAGGGTGTACACCAAGGTTGTGTCCTATCTCCATATCTTTTCAATCTATATGCAGAACAGTTTATCCAGGAGGCTGGGATCTGTGAGAAGAAGTGTGGCATCAGGATTGGAGGTAGACTTATGAACAAATAAGCTTTATGTAAATGACACAACCCTGCTTGCTGAATCTGAGGAGGACCTGAAGCACTTGCTGCAGAAGATCAAGGAATGCAGTCTCCAATATGGATTGAAGTTCAACATCAAGAAAGCAAAGATTCTCACCACTGGGCTGATTGAGATTGATGACAGGTTTAGTTTGCTTGGCTCTACAAACAACACTCTTGGTACCAGCAACCAGAAAAGTAAAAGATGAATTGCATTGGTAAAGTTGGCTGTCAGAGACCTCTCCAAAATACTAAAAAGCAACAATGTCCGTCTGGAGACTAAGGTATGCCTGATCGAGGCTCTGGTCTTCTCAATTGTTTGATCTGCATCAGAGAGCTGGACAATGACTAGGGCTGATAGAAGGAGAATTTATGCCTTTGAACTGTGGTGCTGGAGAAAAGTATTGACTACTATGTACTATAGTACTACTACAAGGACTACTATAGTACTACTACAAGGACTACTAGGACAACAAACAAGTTTGTCTTACAGAGGGTGAAAGCTCCTTGGAGGGAAGGATTCTAAATCTTCATCTGACATACTTTGGACATGTTGCAAGGTGGGATCAATCTATGCAGAGGGAAATCATACTTGGGAGGGTGGAGGGACAGCATAGGAGAGGAAGACCCTCAATGAGATAGATTGATTCAGTCACTGGGGTAATGGGGATAGGTGGGTCAGAGACAGGAAGATTGGGACAGAATAGAGCAGGATATAGGTCTGTAGTACATAAAGTCACTGTGAGTTTTGGGTGACTTGATGGCACATAACAACAACAATACACACATATTATACAGATCTTTAGCCAGTTAATATTTTGCCTAGTATATGTATCTCAGCTGATAATAAGGTTAGCATCTTAAATTTTAAAACTTAAATTATCACTGTGATTTTTCTCAAAAGAATTATGTCTCTTGTGACTTGTTCTGTTACGAGCATTTGAGTAACTCAAAAGTTTAGAGTTGAAAAATATGTTTAATAGAATTTATTTCAGATGATTATAATAACTTTTACAATACTTGATCATGTATTATTTTTCAAAGGTAAATAAATATAAGAACATGAATGATGGAAAGGATTTTTGTTGCTTGGCTTATTTTACCTACAGTTTGCATATAAAATAATATGAAATGAAATCTTCAATTTTATTGTGCATTAGAATCTTGTGGTAAACCAGTGTTTGAAAATGCCAGAGCCAAAAGTACCAACACATGGTATAAGCTCAATGACAAACTAGAATATGAATGCAGCAATGGCTATGAAAACAGAGGTGGAAATACCACAGGCTCTATAGTGTGTGGTATTGATGGTTGGTCTGATACACCTACATGTTATGGTAAGTTCTGCCCTGTTTTCTTTTGGTAATAAGCTCTCTGGGATAATAGAAACACTTTATGTTCCTTTTTGGAGTATGTTTTAATTATCTAGAGATATTGTTAAAGAAAAATGATTACAATCAATGTCTCCTTTAGCTTTAAGTTCACTGGAAAGGGGTTGTTTTTGAAACGGAAAGATAATAACTAGTTTTTAAAAAATACAGCAAAACATTCCCTTATATTACACACATTACAAATTTTCTTCTAATGTATGTATTAGTTTAAAGTCCATTTAAAACATGCTTAACATTAGTCACCTCTTACCAACTTACTATTACTCATGAACAGTACATTTTTTTATCTATATTCCCAAACTTTAGATTTACTCTATTGAACTCCTGTCCTGTATGTTTCAATTTTAAATATCACAGTCTCTGGACTATGCTGAAAACCTTTTAGATGTTATCAAACTGCTGTCTGTTTTCCAGAGCTGTAATATCCATTTATCCTCTTGTTGTTAATTTCTAGTCTAAGACATTGTAATCTGAGAAAATGTGTTATATTTTATCAGTGGTTTTGAATTTTCTGAGTTTGCTTTATGTCCTAGTATATGATCAATTCTGGAGGATGTGCTATGTGCAGTTGAGAAGAAAGTAGTTTGAGTTTTAGTTGGATGACGTCTATGAGGTCGAGGTGACTAAATGTATAATTAGTTCTTCTAAATCTTTCTTGATTTTCTTTCAAGTTGTCTTGTCCTTTGGTGACAGGGGTGTGTTAAGGTTCCCTACTACTATTGTGATACTATCTTTTTCTTCCTTCAATTCTTTCATTTTTGTCTTTTACCAGTGTTTGGTGGCGATCCCTGTTTCAGACAGGTTTGGAAGCCAGAGTGGCATCCACTTCCTAAACAACATGCCTCTTGAAACTCTATGATCTTTGATAAATGATGATAGATAGTTATAGAAAGGCTTCAGATCTTTTGTTCACAGGGTCTCTATGAGTCGTGCTCAACTCGATGGCAGTTAACACCAATAACAAATGTGAAGATATAATCCATATTGATGACTATCATATTTTATCTTCTACAACCAATATTTTAAGTCCGCTTTCCTTTCAGCAAGCAAGATTGTTTCATCTGAATAACACAGGTTGTTGAAAACATTTATTCCAATCCTAATGCCACATCTCTTTTCATAGAGTCTAGATCCATTACTTACTTGCTCAGAATATAGACTGAATAGATATAGAGATAGGATACAACCCTGACTTTTACCTTTCCTTGACTTTTACCTTTCCTGATTTTAAACGATGCAATGTTGTCCTGTTCTCTTTGGTCAACAGCTTCTTTCTCCAGATATAGGTTTTGTATGAGCACAATTTAGTGTTCCTATGCTTCTCAATCTCTTGGTATCCTTCATCATCTTCTCAAATCCATGCACTTCACTGAACCTGAACCCTGGGCTGTGTTCCAGAGATAAGACTTTCAGCTAAAAAAGCAAAGGTGGATGGATCCTCAAAGTTCAGCCAGCCGTTCCCAGTGGTCTCAATTTCCCAACCTCTTGCAGTCCAGAGGGCAGAAAACACCATGGAAATATCTTGTAACTGAACAAGGAGGTGTGCAACTTCAACTAAAGACCACCAGTAAAGTGTTAGGATGAAGCAGACAGATTCTACAATATTATATAACAAATCTATAGGCTACATCACCCACCCCTGGAAAACTATTCCATTGTAACTACAGTGTAGCATAAATGGAGGAAAAGAGGCCATAAGAAGTCAATCCTGGATCAGAAGTTCAAGACTCCTAAACTCAAGAGATACAACTCACAACAGAGAAAACTGGCAGCAGCTTGAGGCATTCAGAATCCCAGAATCCCAGAAAGAGTGAGATATAAGGCATCAAATCAAGAGTTGGATAGGGGACTTAGGTGCTGAATGGAGTAGGTGGGAGTAGAAGGGAATGCTGGTGGAGCACATTCAAGACACATGGGCCAAGGCCGGGGACAACACTGAGTCTATTTGTCATTTCTATAATTGGGAAATATCTTTAATCTGCTCTTTTCCATAAAATGCTTGTCTCTCAGATTATTTTAGAAATCTGAGTATTCAAGTGAAGACTAGCAAGAAGGATTGGCCATCCACTTCTGAAATCGCAGGTCTTTGAAACTGCTGTGCACAATAGAGCACACTTAGACTCTCAGATATGACTAATGAGGCCGAGTCTTCAGCTATAGAAACTCATAAAAGGAAGAACAGCTGTAGGCAGACACTAGTGACTGTAACATGGAATGAGAGAACAATGAATGTAGGAAAAAAAGTGGATATTGTTAAGAAAGAAATGGAATGCATAAATATTGACATACTAGGTATTGGCAAAATGAGACGTATTGACATGGGACATTTTGAGTCAGATGGTCATACGATCTACTATGCTGGAGATGAAAAGATGAGGAAAAATGGGGTTGTGTTAACAGTTAAAAAAGTCATTTCTAGATCCATCTTGAAATACAATGTGAGTGACAGGATAATATCCATACACATACATTGAAGTCTGATAAATATTACTATCATTCAAATATATGCACCAAAAATCAGCACCAACGAGGAGAAGATAGAAGATTTCTACTAACTTTTGAAGTCAGAGATTGATTGAACATGCAATCAAGATGCGTTAATAATAATAGGTGATTGGAATGCAAATTTGGGAACAGAGAAGAAGTATCAGTAGTTGGAAAACATGGACTTGGTGACAGAAATGAAGCTGGAGATATGATAGAATTTTCCACAATCAATGACCTTTTAATTGCAAATACATTTTATACGAAGCATAAATTCAGGCTATACACATGAATTTCACCTGATGGTATGCATAGGCATCAGATTGATTACGTCTGTGGAAAGAAAAACTGAAGAAGCTCAATACCAGCTGTGAAAACTAGGTCAGGTGCTGATTGTGGAACAAACCACCAACTACTCATATGGAAGTTCAAGCTGAAGCTGAGGAACATCAATTCCAGGAAAACCAAAATTTGACCTTGATTCTATCCTGCCTGAATTTGAAAACCATCTCAAGAACAGGCTTGAGGCCTTGAATACTAATGAGCAAAACACAGATGAGCTGTGGGAGGATATCAAGACTATCATCCAGGA